TAAGATATTGAAAAATATAAAACATTTAAAAAGGAAATCCAATAGCTGTCAATATAAGTAAGTTTAATTTTTTTAAGTCATGTCGTACTACAAGGCTTATAATGTTTGTGTAGGTTTTCTAGGTATCACTAGTTCATCTTCAAACTTTCCACCAAACCTACAGAACTGCTCTAAATGAGAAACCTGTCAGATCTCTGTCATTTGTGCTTTTTCTTGATCACATCCCTCCCTGAAGCCCTGCTTCTGCCTGCCCCAGTCTGTGTTGGTGCCTGTCTGGTCTCGGTGCCCAGCTGTTGTTCCTGGTGCCTCTTCTCTCCGCCAGGCTCTGAACTCCCTACACCTTGTCACCCGGAGCCTGTATGCTTCCTTCTTCTTGATTTACCCCCTCGATTTGTAAGAGCACCTCTTCAGTAGCAGTGACAGAATGCCCAGGGTGTCAGTTTTTGATACTTGGCATATCAGAAAACATCTTTATTCTACCCACACTCTTCAGTCTGTTTTCTCTGTATTGTTCAGATTAGGCTAATTATACTGATCTGTCTTCGGCCTCACTGATTCTAAGGCAGATACGACGGCTCTTACCTGTATAGTCCCAGCTACTCAGGAGGCTGAGGAGGGAGGATCATTTGAGGCCAAGAGTTGGAGGCTGTGGTGCTCAGTGATCATGCCTGTGAAGACCTCGCCAACACAGCAAGACCATCTTATTTCAGTTATTATATTTTTTATTTCTTTAATTTCTATTTGGTTCCAAAATTTTTATAACTTTGATTTGTTTACTAAGATTTTTCTATTTTTTTCATTCATTTCAAGTGGATTTATAATTGCATATTAACATATATTTATAATACCTGCTTTAAAGTCCTTGTCAGATAATTCCTTTATCATTCATCTCTTGGCTTATTCAAGTTGTGATTTTCCTGTTTCTTGATGAGTGATTTTCTGTTTGGAAGTGGACATTTTAAGTGTTAAATTAAGACTGGATTTATGTATAGGTTATACTTTAGCAGGCCTCCTCTCAAACTGCCCCAGCAGGGAAGAGGGGGCATTGCCTTGTTACTGCCAGGTGATCAGTGAAGGCCAGGTTCCCGGTTGGCGTCTGATGATACTGCATGAGTAGTGGGATGGGGAGGAGATTGAGGCCCCTCATTACAACCTGGCCAGGGAAGTCTAGACTCTCCTCAGCCTTTGCCAAGGCCGCAGTTGTTTCTGTGACGTTTCACTGGAGTAGAGCAATTATTGTCTACAGGATTTTCGTCATGTCAAGCCACTCCTTTTTGTTGGTTCTTGGGCTAGACAGAGTAGGCTTTTCTTGGGACTTTTTTTGTCTCTGCTCTTTGGCATTTCCACGTTATCAGCTTCTCCAGCGCCCTGTCCAGGACACACAAGGCAACAAGCAAATCCAGGGAACTGACTGCCGTGCCACTCCTGGGTCCTGAGGTCCCTAGACAATGTGCCTTTTTCTCCTCACTTTTCAGCAGTCGTTGCGCTTGGTTTATATATAACACGCCCGAGTTTTAGCTCTCCTTTGTGGGAGGAATAGGAAAAAGTATGTCTACTCCATCATTCCTGAAACACAACTCCTCACACTTAAATGATAGAATGGCAGGCAGAATTTTAGATGAGAAATCATTGCTCTTTAAAAATATTAGCCGGGTGTGGTGGCTCACCCCAGAGCTTCAGGAGACCAGGAGTACGAGACCAGCCGGTCAATATGGCAAAACTCCGCCTCTAAAAATACAAAACCTGGTCAAGCATGGTGGCACATACCTTTAGTCCCAGCTACTGAGGCTGAGGCAGGAGGATCACCTGAGTCTGGGAGTTTAAGGCTGCAGTGAGCCATGATCATGCCACTGCACTCCAGCCTAGGCAACACAGTGAGAGGGAGTCTCTGTCTGTCTGTCTCTCTCTCTCTCTTTCTCTCTCTCTCTCTCTCTTTCTTTCTCTCTCTCTCTCTTTCTCTTTCTTTCTCTCTCTCTCTCTCTTTCTCTCTCTCTCTGTCTCTTATGTCTGTCTCCTTCTCACATGTATGAGAGAGAGAGTGTGGCATACATATAAAGGTATTACTCTGTTGTCTTCTACATTTTGTTTTTACTTTTGAAAACCCAGATACGATTTTTGAGTGCTGATCTTTATATCTTACATGTTCATTTCTTTCTGAACGCTTTAATGATCTTTGTTCTCAATGTTCAAAAACTTGACAGTAGAATTTGGGTTGGTTGTTTTTTGAGACAGAGTCTCGCCCTGTTGCCCAGGCTGGAGTGCAGTAGCACGATCTCAGCTCACTGCAACCTCTGCCTTCCAGGTTCAAGCGATTCTCCTGCTTCAGCCTCCTGAGTAGGTGGGATTACAGGCGCTCACCACTGCGCCCCACTAATTTTTTGTATCTTTAACAGAGACAGGGTTTCACCATGTTGGCCAGGCTGGTCTTGAACTCCTGACCTCGTGATCCTCCTGCCTCGGCCTCCCAAAGTACTGGGATTACAGGCGCGAGCCACTGTGCCCGGCCTTGTTTTATACTTTAAGTTCTGGGATACGTGTGCAGAATGTACAGGTTTGTTACACAGATATACATGTGCCATGGTGGTTTGTTGTGCCAGTTGGTGGTTTTTACATGTGCTGGATACTCAGTGGTCTCTTCAGTCTGAAAACTTGTGTTGGTCGGTACAGGGAAATCTTAATGTATTATTTCTCTCATAATTTGTTTTCTGCTACTCAATTTCCATCTCATCCCTTTTTTGGGGGAAACTCTTTATTTGTTAGGTGAACTTCTAGAATTGATTTCTTTATCTTTTCTCATTTATTTACTATCTCTTTCTCTTCTCTCTTTTTCTTTTATCTTAAAGCCTTCTCAATATGAAAATCTGTAAATGTCTGGGAAAACAGAGAAAATAATAGTAATCAAACAGATGTAACTGTTTTAATATTTTGCCGTAATTCATCTTCTCCTTTTTTTTTTTTAAGAGACAGGGTCTCGCTGTGTTGTGGCTGGAGTTCAGTGGTGCCGTCATAACTCATTGCAGCCTCAGCCTCCCAGGTTCAAGCAATCCTCCTGCTCTTCAGCCTCCAGAGTCGCTAGGACCATAGGCACACACCACCACGCCCAGCTAATGTTTGTATTTTTGTAGTTTTGGGGTTTCCCTATGTTCACTAGGCTGGTCTCGAATTCCTGGGCTCAAGTGATCTTCCTGCCATGGCCTCCCAAAGCACTGGTATTATAGGCGTGAGCCACCATGCCTAGCCAGTTCTTTCTTATGCCTATTCAAATATGCAGTTCAGACTCTCTAGTGTTTTTTCTTTTTTTTTCCTCTTTCAGCATTTACATTTTTATATTCCGGAACTTCTAGTCCCTCTGTTGCCCGGGCTGGAGTGCCAGTGTTACAATTATAGCTCATTGCAGCTTCGGACTCCTGGGCACTAGTAATTCTCTTGCCTCCACCTCCTTAGTAGCTGGAACTACAGGTGCACGCCAATGCACTTGGCTAATTAAAAAAAAATTTTTTTTAAGAAATGGGGTCTTACTGTATTGCCCAGGCTGGTCTCGATCTCCTGGCCTCAGGTGATTCTTCTGCCTCAGCTTCCCAAACTGCCGGGAGTTTTTAGGCATGAGCCACTGTGCCCAACTCAGTCTTTTCATTTCTATAGGTTAAAAATCCCAAGTGTACAGTTGCTCATCTGAGAATACAGGAGTAAAAGCCAGTGTTTTTGTCTTCTCTCACTCAACAACAACACAGAAACTTCCGTTACCTCTGGTTAGTAAGAACTGGGGAAGGATTTCTCCCCGGCAACCAACCAACCAGATTTGCAAAAGACACCAGGTGGGTGCCCTCCAATTCAATTATGACACTTGGAGATAGTGTCAGATCTCACAGGTTGAGGGCTCAGTCCCACAGGACTACCAAACTTTCACCCCCTAATGCAAGCCCCAGGTGGTTTTACTTGTTCTTCTGACCAGCTAGTTCCCATGCATTTTGATTAATTTGCTAAAACAGCACACAGAACTCAGGAAAACACTTTATGTGCATTAACGTATTTTCATAAAGGCTATTACAGAGGATGCAGATGACCAACCAACTGGAACAGATGCATAAGGCCTGGGAGAAGGGATGTGAAGCTTCCATGACCTCTCCAGGCACGCCCCTCCAGGAATTTTCACGTGCTAGCTATCCCAGAAGCTCCTGAATCCAGTCTTTTCGAGTTTTTATGGAAATTCCATTTACACAGGAATGGTTGATTAGGCATTGGCCATTAGTAATCAGCTCAACCTCAGTCCCTCTCAATTACAACTGTAGTTAAAGAAAAAGAAAGAAAAAAAAAAAACAAAAATAACAACTCCAAAGTCAACATATATATTAAGGAATTCTGGGGGAAAATGTATATTAATATTATGAAAATTGGTTGTGCTATGACAATATGACTTTGAGTGAGTTCTTTAAAGTGTTATTTTCTTGTTAATTTTGTTACTGCTTATAAAAACTTGGGTGGGAGCAGGACATACAGTATATTTTTAAAACCTGATTGACATTTAAAATTGCTTTGTTAAACTTTAAACTCAAGAAATAGAGTATTAAAGCTGGGCGTGGTGGTTCTCACCTGTAATCCCAGCACTTTGGGAGGCTGAGGCAGGTGGATCACTTGAGCTGAGGAGTTAGAGATCAGCCTGGGCAACATGGTGAAAACCCATCTCTACCAAAAAATACAAAAATTAGCCTGGCATGGTGGCACACACCCGTAGTCCCAGCTACTCGGGAGGACGAGGTGGGAGAATCCCTTGAGCCCAGAAGACAGAGGTTGCAGTGAGCCAAGATCACACCACTGCACTCCAGCATGGGTAACAGAGTGAGACCCTGTCTCAAAATTTTTTAAAAATTAAAAATTAAAAAAGTATCAATTGTGCAGTGCGCTGAACAGAAATAATTGGACAAATGCCCATCCTCTGAGATGTTGTAGATGAAGGCAGTTTTTTTCTTATTTGCTACATGTGCTTTTCTTTTGTGTTTTAGTGCCAAACCCAAGTCTGAAATCCACGTGTCTATGGCCACTCCCGTCACTGTGTCCATGGAGACTGTATCCAGTCAAAATAATGATCAGCCTACCATTGCCGTCCCTCCAACTGCCCAGCAGCCTCCACCGACCATTCCAACTATGATTGCAGCAGCCAGTCCCCCATCACAACCAGCCGTTGCCCTTTCAACCATTCCTGGAGCGGTCCCCATCACTCCACCCATCACCACCATTGCAGCTGCACCACCTCCATCAGTCACTGTGGGTGGCAGTCTGTCCTCCGTCTTGGGCCCTCCTGTTCCTGAAATTAAAGTGAAAGAAGAAGTAGAACCAATGGATATCATGAGGCCAGTTTCTGGTAAGTCCGTCCATAGAATACTCTCCATTGGCAGTTGCCTCTTCCCCTTCCCTAATTCTCCTTCAGCATCCAGATTCTTCTATGACCCTCAGCCGAGACTCCCTGATACCCATTTTAGATGTTGCATGTCATTCGTTTTTGATAAATAGAAGAAAGCAATAAACTCATTGTGAAAACTAAAACTACTTTGCTTTCCTTTTGTAATTAAGTTTAATTTCTGGCCAAAATCATGAAAGAGATTAATATTTCCCCATGGATATCCTTCAATGTAGTTTCCTTGCATGCATTAAGAAAATGCTACTATGTAAAAGGGGTCACAATGTGGCTATAGTACTGTTTATTTCCAAGTTTCATTGCCTTATTATGCAATCAAGTAAGATTTATGTTGCTGAAAAGCCTATATGTGATTAGTAAAATCTTAAAGCAATTCATTTCTCCCTTTACCACTTCATCTTAACTCTAAACTTCCGGTTTGAGAAGGTCAAGTCACTTGAGAGGTTTTCTTTTTTTCTTTTCTTTTTTTTTTAAAATAATTTATTGTGTAATTTTGTTTTTCCTACAAAAGTAACATATTCAGTAAACAAACTGTGTGAAGTAGAAACAAACCCAAAGAAGAAAGCAAGTTATTTGTTCTCTGGTATCCAGTATTACCTACTATTTCAGTGAGAAGGCCTCCATTTCTTTCTCATGTTGTTTGCCTGATAGAGGTGTGATTGTGCTGTGTGTATAGTTTTTTTAATCTACTGTTTATTTACTCATCTATTTATTCTGCCATGAAATCTCTTTCTGTGGATATTTTTACCCTTGGCCCTTTCTTTGAAAGATACCATGAGGAATCCAGAAGGGGGAAGGAAGCATCCTCAGTTATGCTGCTCATCTGCTCTCTTTGGCTGGTTCCCTTTACCTCTCTGTGCTAGGGAACTGCCGATAATCCTACCTCAACCTACAGGGGTCTGTTCCAGGAATTGTTCTGGGCACGACGAAGCAGCTTTGTGTTAGACAAATGCAGCTTTATCCTGTTAGATCTTACATTCTAGCAAGGGAGACCAAAGATAAAAAGATGACTAAATTACGTGTGTGTGTGTGTGTGTGTATATGTATGTTTGGGTGATAAGTGCTATGGAGAAACAAAGCAGGGACGAAATATAGGGGAAAGTTGTAGCCAGGACTGGAATTTGTATAAAGGTTTTAGGAGAAAGCCTCACTGAGGAAGTGACCATTGAGTAGAGACATTAAAGAAATGAAGTTGCTGGCCATGAGGATATCTGGGGAAAGAGTATTCCAGGCCAGAGAGCAGTAAGTACAAAAATCTGGAGATAGGTGCATGCATGATGTGCTCAAAATATAGCAAAGAACCAAAGGTCGCTGGAGCTAAGTAAGAAGGGGAGTGGCAGCGGGATCAGATCATGGTTGAACAGGGCCCACAGGCTGTTGTAAAGGCTTTGGCTTTGCTGGGGTTGGCAGGGAGCTGTTGGAGCAGAGCAGGGAGTGTGAGCAGAGCAGTGCCAAGCGCTCACTTAGGACTGAAGATAAACACTGGCTGCTGGGGAAAAGAACAGACTCTGGGAGCAGGGATGGAATCAGGGAGACCTGTCAAGCAGCTGTTGCATTAATTGCAAGGAACAATGAAGGCTCAGCCAGGGCAGTAGTGGTGGAAGTAGCATGAGGTAGGATTCTGTTTATGTTTTTAAGGTAGAGCTAAGTGTGTTTCATATTTGGATGTTGAGTGTGAGAGAACAGTATCTGGGACAACTTCCAAGATTTTGGCCTTAGCAATTGGAGGCCACAGAGTTGCCATTGACTGAATCAGGAAAGCCTGCAGGAGGACCATGTTTTGTAGGGAAAGATTAAGAGTTTAGTTTTTGATAGGGTAAGTTTCAGTTAGACATTTCAAATGTAGACATCAAATAAATAGTTGAATCTATGAGGCTGGCTTTTGGAATAGAAAATGAAGTTGTAGATATAAATTTGAGAGTTGTCATTATATATATAAACTGTATTTGAAGTCATGAGCCTGGATGAGTGGTTCAGATCACCTAGGGAATGAATGTATCTTGATAAAGACAGAAGCAGTCCATGATGTAGTCTTAGGAGAGTGCACTATGATGAGATGGGAGAGGAAGTAAAGTCCAGCAAAGGAGGCTGAATGGAGGGAACACAGGGTAAGAATATCACTTACAGTGTGTGGTGTCCTGGAAGTTGCAAGAACAAAAATATTTCAGGGAGGAGAGAATGATCAGGTGGATCACATGCTCTTGAGAGATCAGGAAGATGAGGTCTGAGCAGTGACCTTTGGATTTGGCAAACAGAGGTCACAGAGGTCTTGAGAAAAGCAGTTTCTGTGTAATGATGGGGTAAAAGCATGATTGGGAGCAAGTTCAGGAGAAAGCCGGGAGAGATAGAGACATTATATATAAACAGCATGTTTGAGGCATTTGTTCTAAAGGAAGAGAAAAAAGGTGTTTGAAGTGACATGATGTCAAGAAGATTTTTTTTTTTTAGATGGAGTTGTGCTCTTTCCCCCAGGCTAGAGTGCAGGGGCATGATCTCGGCCCACTGCAACCTCCGCCTTCTGGTTTCAAGCAATTCTCCTGCCTCAACCTCCTGAGTAGTGGGGATTACAGGCACCTGCCACCACACTGGGCTAATAATTGTATTTTTAGTAGAGATGGGGTTTCACCATGTTGGCCAGGCTGGTCTTGAACTCCTGACCTTGTGATCTACCTGCCTTGGCCTCCCAAAGTGCTAGGATTAGGTGAGCCACCACGCTTGGCCAAGAAGAAGATTTTTTTAAGATGGGACAAATAAGAGTTTTGTATGTTAATGGGAATGATCCAGTAGACTGAGAAGAATTGGGGATGCAGGAGAAAGTTGTGAATTCCTGGAGCATTGTTTGAGGAGGTGAGAGTGGGTGGGATTTGTGTGTACCTGAAGAGGTTGGCCTTTGCTGAAAGCATGGAGAAAAAACAGGAGAATATAGGGCCACAGTGGAGAGGGGGAAATGAGGTGGTGGGACTTGATGGACATGTTCTTGTGATTGCATCTATCTTTTTCAGTAAAATAGAAAGCAAGGCCATCCACTGAGAGTACAAATGGTGGCAGAGGCATCGAGTGTTTGAGGGAGAGGAAGGTGTGAAGCAGGCATCGCGAGAAAGACTGGACTTAGCAGAGAGGGCTGTCCGAGTGAGGCCAGTCAGCATGGTAGTGTGTCGCCCTCTGGCGACATTCAGTTGCATAGGTGCAGACTGGTTGGAGAATAGGATTTAACCTCTTGTCCTTTTGCTAAGTGAGCAAAGCAAGAAAAGGAAGGGACAATGAAGGAAGAAAAGGAATACAGTGATTATAGGCGATGGGGGAGGATAGACATGAGAGGGGTGGGTGACTGCAGGAACATGGTTGGGTGAACAGGTGATAGTTCCTTGTAGGCCTAAGGAGTGCTGGAGGCTGAGTACTGAGGGGAAGAACCTAGAAAGAGAGTTGGATTTACCTGGGGAGTTGGATGCTAGAAATTGAGATTGGGTGTGAGGCAGTTTCTATTTAACGGCGACAGGGAAGTTTAGGGTATGACTGTTGGGAGTGGGCAGCAGAGTGGGTAGAGGAAAATAGGGCAAGTATGTGGTAGAGTGAAAATAAGAGTTAAGGTGAGCCCTTAACATGATTTTTAAGTTCCTAGATGTGTGATTCATACAAGCTCAAGCAAATGTTTACATCCTCACAACACATCTTTTTATCTGGAGGTAGCACCCTGTGGTCGGTGAGAGTGCAAGCTCTGAAGCCAGACTGCCTCTGTCAGTCCCAGCTTGCCCACTTCATACTTGTGTGACTTGTGCCATATTTTCTCATCTCTGAATTGGAGGATAATAATAATGGCTACTTATTAGGATGATTTTTACGATAATGAGTTAATAGGTTACCTGCTAGACATTTATGTTAAAAAAAAGTGTGAAAAATAGTAGCTTAACTCATAAGATCCTGTTATCTCCTTTGGAAGAAGTCCTGAGGCAGACAGTTCAGGGATGGTGTGTGGACTTCATCAAATTGTTAGAAAGCCAGGCGCCTTCCACCTCTTCACTCCACCACCCCTAGGATTTGACCTTCATGCTCTTGATTCAGGACAGCTGGGGATGCTGCAGCCACCTCATCTGAGTTCCAGGATCACAGAAAGAACACAAGGAGTAGGTCACACCTGCTCTCTCTCTCCCTCCTGGAAATTCCCTAAAAGTGCTACAAAATGTTTCTACTTGCATCTGAGATGACCACACCTGTCGTGGAGGCTAGGAAGTACATTCTTTAGCTGAATATTATTGTGCCCTTGTCAAAGGGAGGTCCTGAAACTAAGGAAGGTGAAGACACGGGCTACTAGGGAGGAGTTTGCAGCTTCTGCCGCAGAGTGCTTAGCACAGTGCCAGACACATAGGAAGACTCAGAGTGCTTAGCACAGTGCCAGACACATAGGAAGACTCAGAGTGCTTAGCACAGTGCCAGACACATAGGAAGACTCAGAGTGCTTAGCACAGTGCCAGACACATAGGAAGACTCAGAGTGCTTAGCACAGTGCCAGACACATAGGAAGACTCAGAGTGCTTAGCACGGTGCCAGACACATAGGAAGACTCAGAGTGCTTAGCACGGTGCCAGACACAAAGGAAGACTCAGAGTGCTTAGCACAGTGCCAGACACATAGGAAGACTCAGAGTGCTTAGCACAGTGCCAGACACATAGGAAGACTCAATAAATGTTGGTGCTCTGTGCTGCCTTCTTAATCATTGTCTTTGTTGGAAGGAAGGAAGTAAAACTTTGTTGTGTTTGAGTTCTTACAGCTATGTGTGCTCCTTTTCCTATGACAGCAGTTCCTCCGCTGGCTACCAACACTGTGTCTCCATCTCTCTCATTGCTGGCAAACAACCTGTCCATGCCTACAAGTGACCTACCACCTGGTGCCTCCCCAAGGAAGAAGCCTCGAAAGCAACAGCACGTGATCTCAACAGAAGAAGGTGACATGATGGAGACAAACAGCACTGACGATGAGAAGTCCACTGCCAAGAGTCTTCTGGTGAAGGCTGAGAAGCGCAAGTCTCCTCCCAAGGAGTATATTGGTAATGGTCACAGGCTGACTTGTGTTATGACGCTTCCCAGTAAAGTCAGAGTCCCTCCCAGAGGCTCGCTACATAGTCAGCCTCACTCATACCTCGCTTACTGGAATTGAACTTTGAGGATTGCTGACAATGTTAATAAGTTGTTTAATGTCTTCTCTGTAATAGATGAGGAAGGTGTGAGGTATGTCCCAGTGCGTCCAAGACCCCCCATCACTTTGCTTCGTCACTATCGGAACCCCTGGAAAGCTGCTTACCACCACTTTCAGAGGTACAGTGACGTCCGGGTCAAAGGTTAGTTTCTCCAGAAATGTTTGGTATTAATGCATGAAATTGGTATAAACTTAATTAAAATAGAAGAGAAAAACAGAACCACAGTTTTCCAGTTTCAAAAAAACCATAAATTTTTGTTACAAAATCTTGAGGCTTCAGTGTTTAAGTATATCCTGTAGAATATAAAACTTAGAAAATTACCCTTTGCCCTAGCAAGCTGTGTGTATTTATTGGAATTGCAGTTTAATGGTTAAGTGACAGCCTTGGTCTTTGTAAAAGCCACGTGTTAACAGCTCCCAAAGTACTGATGGAGGAGACCGGTGGCTTCCAGAGTCATTGTGGAAGAGCTGTACTGGGTTACTGTATAACACAGTTAAGTCCACAGTAGTTCCTAAGATGCTAAAATATACATGCATTGTAAGCATTTCTGCAAAAGGATCTTTTGTTTAACATATATACGAAGCTCTTGGAGTGGTCTAGGGTAAGCCCTCAATGAATGTTTTGTTGTTCTGGTAGAACCTGAGAATAACCTTTTAATAAACCCACATATGATTGAAAGTGCTGATAGTACTTTGCAAATACCTGCAAATATTTCTACTGATGGACTTTAAGTGCCATTAATCTCGGATATAATATATGTACAAAGAAATGTGAGCCTCTAGATAATTGGTCACATTTCCCATTCTCTTACATAAATTCCATTTGGAAACTGCTCTAAGGGTTTTCTTGAAGGCTCGAGATGAGTCCCACTTGGATGGAGTACTGACTAATTAAGCAGAGGTGGAGAAGCTAACAGTTCAGTCTCTGAATGGAAGTACAGAGGCGGCTACATTTCCCAGCTTTTCTTCCTCACAAGTGTGCTCTGAGATTGGGAAGGAATGAGATTTCCAGAGGGCAGGGAGTGCTGCCTTTTAGTGGAAGTAGGATATGAACCACTGAACAGCTCTTCATGCCACAAAAATTCCATAGAAAAATTATTTAGGAATTTGCTCGGTAGCATTTCCAGCCACACTACAAGAGTCTAAATGTTTATTGGGACTTGCTCTTCAAAAACTATCTCAAGAAAGATAACTTGACAGCTGAATTTTTACGATCCTGAATCTTTGTTTCACTATATTCATATAACCCCCTTACACAGTGCCTCTTGACTAGGAAACTTTCGTGCAACTATTTTGCCTGAGCTACAAAATAACATATAAATTATATCTATAAATACATGAAGATAGACTAAAACTCACAGGAGGCCAGGCGTGGTGACTCACGCCTGTAATCCCAGCACTTTGGGAGGCTGAGGCGGGTGGATCACTGGAGGTCAGGAGTTGAAAATCAGCCTGGCCAACATGGTAAAACCCGGTCTCTACTAAAAATACAAAAAAATTAGCCAGGCGTGATGGCGGGCGCCTTTAATCCCAGCTACTCCGGAGGCTGTGAGGCAGGAGAATCTCTTGAACCTGGGAGGCAGAGGTTGCAGTGAGCCAAGATCGCACCACTGCCCCACACTCCAGCCTGGGCGACAGAGCAAGACTGTGTCTCAAAAAAAAAAAAACCTCACAGGAAAGAAAAGAAGTACAGAAAACACGTAGTAATGTGGCAGACCTAAGCCTCACATACTAGTTATTGTCATAAATGTAAATAGTCTAAACATACCAATTAAACACAGATTGGCAGAATCAATGAAAAAACACAATCCAACTATGTGCTGGGTACAAGAAACTCACTTTGAATACAGTGGCATAGGTAGATTGACAGTAAAAGGCTAGAAAAACACATGCAAGCCAGGTGTGACTGACGCCTGTAATCTCAGCACTTTGGGAGGCCAAGGTGGGTGGATCACCTGAGGTCAGGAGTTCGAGACCAGCCTGGCCAACATGGTGAAACCTCACCCCTACTGAAAATATAAAAATTAGCCAGGCATGGTTGTACACACCTGTAATTTCAGCTCTTCAGGAGGCTGTAGCAGGAGAATCGCACGAATCCCCGGGAAGTGGAGGTTTGCAGTGAGCCGAGTTCATGCCGCTGCTCTCCAGCCTAGGCGACAGAGTGAGACTCCGTCTCAAAAAAAAAAAAAAAGCCGCGGTGTCAGCCTGTATCCAGCACTTGGAGCGAGCGGTGAACAAGTCAGGAGATCGAGACCAAGTGAAACCGTCTCTAAAAATACAAAAAATAGCCGGGCGGGGCGGGGTGAGTCCAGCACCAGGGGCGAGGCAGGAGAAGGCGTGAAGGAGGGGGCTGCAGGAGCGAGATCGCGCCACGCACTCCACTGGCACAGCGTAGACTCCTCAAAAAAAAAAAAAAAAAAAAAACCACGCATGCACACAATACGAAGTTAATTCACACAATATGAAATCAATTCACAAAAAAGCAGGAGTGGCCATATTAATGTCACATAAAGTAAACTTCTGAGGAAAGAAAATTGCTAGAGACAGAGAGGGACATTACATACTGATAAGATAATCGGCTCACCAGGTAATGATCCACTTCTCAGCGGTGTCTTTTAAAATGTAGGCAAGGACATTCCAAATTTATTTGATGAAGCCAATATTTTCATACCATCAAAACCAGAGTGTACAAATATAGAAAACGACAGATCGATATTCCTCATGAATATAGATGTAAAAATGCATTAATAAAATATTAGCAAATCGAATCCAGCAGTATATACCTTGACCAAGTAGAATATATTTTTGCTGTACAAAGCTGGTTCAACATTTGAAAGCCAAAGTAATTCACCCTATTAACTGGCCTTATTAATTTCCTAGGGTTGCCATAACAAAGTACTGTGAACTGGGTGGCATAAAACAGTACGAATTATTCTCTCATGGTTCTGGGGGCTGGAAGTCCGGAATAAAGGTCTGATAGGACCGTGCTGGCTGTGAAAGCAGTAGAGGAGAATCCTCCCTCGCCTCTCTGGTTTCTTGTGATTGCCGGCAGTCTTCGGTGTTCCTGGCTCGCACCTGCACCACTCCAGTCTGTCTCCGTCTTCAGATGGCATTCTTCTCTTTGTCTCTCTGCCTCTCCCATCCCCCTTTCTCTCTCTCCTCTCCCCTTCCTTTTCTCTCTCTCTCTACTTCTCTCTCTCCCTCCCCCCTTGTACAGGCACTAGTCACTGGATTTACAGCTCACCTTAATCCAGGATGACTTCTTAACCAAATTACCTTTTTTTTTTTTTTCTTGCAATGGAGTCTTGCTCTGTCCCCCAGGCTGGAGTACAATGGTGCAGCCTTAACTCACTGCAACCTCCGCCTCCCGGGTTCAAGCAATTCTTGTGCCTCAGCCTCCTGAGTAGCTGGGATTACAGGCACCCACCACCACACCCAGCTAATTTTTTGTATTTTTAGTAGAGACAGGGTTTCACCATGTTGGCCAGGCTGGTTTCGAATTCCTGACCTCAAGTGATCCACCTGCCTCGGCCTTCCAAAGTGCTGGGATTACAAGTGTGAGCCACTGCGCTCGGCCTACATTACATTCTAGTGTAGTTATAGTCACAGGTACCAAGGAACTTCAACATACCTTTCGGGAAGAAAGCCAACCCACAATGAAAGCTAAAGAAGAAAAATCACATGATTGTATCAGTCAATAGAAAAAATTTGACAAAATTAAACACCTTTTCTTTTTTTTTTTTTTTTTCTTTTTTTTGAGACGGAGTCTCGCTCTGTCGCCCGGGCTGGAGTGCAGTGGCCGGATCTCAGCTCACTGCAAGCTCCGCCTCCCGGGTTTACACCATTCTCCTGCCTCAGCCTCCCAAGTAGCTAGGACTACAGGCGCCGCCACCTCGCCCGGCTAGTTTTTTGTATCTTTTAGTAGAGACGGGGTTTCACTGTGTTAGCCAGGATGGTCTCGATCTCCTGACCTCGTGATCCGCCCGTCTCGGCCTCCCAAAGTGCTGGGATTACAGGCTTGAGCCACCGCGCCCGGCCTAAACACCTTTTCATGATAAACAGTGTTCGAAACAGAAAAAGAAGAGTTCTTTATTGATTTGATAAAGTTGTTCTGCCCTTGGAAAGGCTCCCTCTTGTAATCCCAGCACCTCTTATGCTTTGTTCTTTCCTTCAAACCAGCCTGCACATGGTCTAGGCTACATCTTCATTAGTTCCACAAATCTCCCGCAGTTCTCTTCACCACAGCCTCCACTGCTCTCAGGAGCACCTTTAGGTTTGAACTTCTTCACACTCTTGCAAATGGACTCACTTCCTTCAGGAAGAAGTTAGAAGGCATCTGTTTTACAGCCCACGTCTTCCGGCCAAATGTTTGAGCCAGGGTCTTGGAGATGGGGGAGGCCCCGGCTTGACATGTGGCAAGCTTCTCTCTGAGTGACAGCCCTGCTTTAGGAGGTAGCACTTAGTGGAGGGGGAAGGAGGGGAGTAAGCAGCCTGGAGTCCTCTTGGTTTACCTCTCCTAGATGAAACCATTACCTCAAAGAAAGACGTTCTTATGGCCCGGTACGGCAGTTCATGCCTGTAATCCCAAAACTTTGGGAGGCCAAGGCAGGCAAATTGCTTGAGCCCAGGAGTTCAAGACCAACCTGGTCAACATAGCAAGACCCCATCCCTACAAAAAACACAAAAGTGAGCCCAGCATGGTGGCGCACACCTGTAGTCCCAGCTACTTGGGAGGCTGAAATGGGAGAATCGTTTGAGCCTAGGAGGCGAAGGTTGCGGTGAGCCGAGATTGTACCACTGCACTCCAGCCAGACACTGTCTCAAAAACATAACAAAATTCTTACTAAAATAATGGCATTTACACTGCTTAAACACGAATCATTTACCTTTTTAAACACTGAAATACACATATTTTTGTTTTTTATGGTTCCAGAGGAGAAGAAAGCTATGCTGCAGGAAATAGCTAATCAGAAAGGAGTATCCTGTCGTGCTCAAGGCTGGAAAGTTCACCTCTGTGCCGCCCAGTTACTACAGCTGGTAGGTGGAGTTCTAGCAGTTGTTCATCATGCTGAAGAAAGGAGAAGACCCTGGAGATTGCTGAGTTCATAGAACTTTTTATAAGTAACTGTGAAGCATTCCCAGCTAACATGGGTTATGGTAGCATTTTTATGTGTGCTATGTAATATCACTGTGTCAGTTACATGTGATTAAAACTGAAATATATTTGAGTTCTGGTACCCAGATCCAAAATATATGGAACAACTGTGGTGTAAGACCTAAATTTAAGATTCAGTGTTATGTCATGTTGTGACATCTGAAATAGGGGGAGCCTCAAATGGCCTAACTGAGAGTCCCTCCTCCCAACTCTGCTCCCTCAGATGAAGTCTCCTAGCCAAACAGCCCTTCATACCACAGGGACCAGGCACACAACTCCTGCTCCTTGCTGAGTAGTAGGCTCCAGTTCCCTGCCAGCTTCCAATATTCCAATATTATTCAGATAAGCCAGTCAACACATCGTCATTCAGAGACCGGGTCATACCTCTCCCTCTCTCCTTGTTCTTTTTTGTTTTTGTTTTCGTTTTTTTTGTTTTTTCTTTGAGATGGAGTCTTGCTCTGTTGCCCAGGTTGGAGTGCAGTGGCACGATCATGGCTTACTACAGCCATGATCAGCCTGCTGGGCTTAAGTAATCCTCTCACCTCAGCCCCCACAAACAGCTGGGACTACGTGTGAGTCACTGCACCCGGCTGATTTTTAAACATTTTTTGTAGAGGCCAGATGTGGTGGCTCAAACCTGTAATCCCAGCACTTTGGGAGGCCGAGGTGGGCAGATCACGAGGTCAGGAGTTTGAGACCATGGCTAACATGGTGAAACCCCCGTCTCTACTAAAAGTACAAAAATAAGCTAGGCATGGTGGCAGGCGTCAGCTACTCGGGAGACTGAGGCAGGAGAATCGCTTGAAACCAGAAGGCGGAGGTTGCAGCGAGCTGAGATTGTGCCACTGCACTCAAGCCTGGGCAAAAGAGCGAAACTGCGTCTTGGGGGAAAAATAAAATTGTAGAGAAGGGGTCTCATTGTGTTGCCCAGTCTGTCCTGTGTCTTTAATTTTTAACAAACAAGTTAAAAAAGTTTTTAATCCAAAATAAGGGGCCAAGGTCAGTGGCTCAGGCCTGTGATCCCAGCACTTTGGGAGGCTGGGGCAAGAGGATTGCTTGGGCCCAGGAGTTTGAGGCCCGCCGGGCAACATAGTGGGACCCTGTCTCTACAAAACAAAAGTGTTGTAATTAGCTGGGTGTAGTGGTGCACACCTCTAGTCCCAGCAACCTGGGAGGCTGAGGTAGGAGGATCTCTTGAGCCCGGAAGACCAAGGCTGCCCACTGCACTCCATCCTGGACAACAGAGTAAGACACTATCTCAAAAAAAAGGAAGAAAACAAAGTTTATAGAATAAAGATACAAAGAAAATAATTTTTTGTAACTGCCCAACAGTGTCCACATTTGTCCCACAACATGTATTTTAAGCTAAGTTTTATTGCAAAAGAGTCAAAAAGTTTGAAACAGTTTAGAAGTTTGTAAAGTAAAAAGAGTATGCTAAGGTTAATTTGTTATTGAAGAAAGAAGAATATTTTTGATAGATTTAGTGTAGCCTCAGGGCACAGTGCTTGTAAAGCCCACAGTAGTGTACAGTGATGTCTTAGAGCTTCACATTCACTCACTGCTCACCCCCGACTCACCCAGAGCAACTTCACCGTCCTGATAGACTGCATTCACGTGAGTGCTCTTTACCGTTTTTAATCTGTCATGCCATATTTTTACCATACCTTTTCTATGTGTAGATATGTGTGGACACACAAACAGTTAACACTGTGTTTCCGTTTCCTGCACTATTCCTTGCAGTGACACGGTATACATGTTTGTAGTCCAGGAGCAGTAGGCTCTATCATGTAGTCTAAGTATGTGGTAGTCCATAACATCTAGGTTTGTGTAAGTGCATTCTGTGATATTCACACAATAGCAAAGTTGCCTAAAGACATTTCTCAGAACATAGCCCTGTCATAAAGCAGAGCATGACTGTATTTGTGATTCATAAACTGCTGTTAATCTTATCTGTCCAATGTTGGATCTTATATGTTTGGCCATTTCTATAACGCTAGGGCAAGAATCCTTCCTTCACCAGCTGGGTGAAGAGGAGACAACAACCTCATAAAGTATTTCCTTCTTTTCAGTAGCAGTGACCTGAAGAACATTGTCTGTTGTCAGTATCTAAAAAATGTAGTACCTTGGCTACTTCTGACTTAGCAGAAATCACTTCTGTGAAACTTGGAGACTTGTGTTTCAGAAGAATTGTGGATTCAAGGCAGTATTCAAAAGTTATCCTTGAAGATAGGCTCTGAACTATGGCAAATTATAATGTCAATCTTTGTTGATCCGTTTCCTTTACTGCCTTTATTTTATTGTATTGTATTTATTTGTTTTTTAGATGGAATTTCACTCTTGTTGCCCAGGCTGGAGTGCAATGGTGCGATCTCAGCTCACTGCAACCTCTGCCTCCCGGGTTCAAGCGATTCTTCTGCCTCAGCCTCCCGAGTAACTGGGATTACAGGCACGCACCACCACGCCCGGCTAATTTTGTATTTTTAATAGAGATGGGGTTTCACCACATTGGTCAGGCTGGTCTCGAACTCCGGACCTCAGGTGATCCACCCGCCTCAACCTCCCAAAGTGCTGGGATTATAGGCGTGAGCCACCACGCCCAGCCCCTTTACTGTTTTTAAACCTTAGTATCTTAGTCCTTAGGAGAAAGGACATTGTCACCCAAACAACTCTTAGACAGTTTACAAAGGTGATTCAAGGTGGGTTCATTTGCCTGGGGTTGACATTGGAAAATATTTCCGAGGTCATGATATTCTCCCTTTTGTGTGTTGCAGACGAATCTAGAACATGATGTCTATGAAAGACTTACCAACCTGCAGGAAGGGATTATCCCAAAGAAAAAAGCAGCAACCGATGATGATCTCCACCGAATAAATGAACTGATACAGGTTTGAGTGAGCCCCTTCCCTTCTGATCATCCACTTTATGAAGTTGCTTTCTGTAAAGCCCTACTTCTCCTGTTGCCCCCCGTATCCCTCATATCTTCAGTTAAAAACATGTGCTTCAGCCTGCACTGCTGAGAAACAAGAAGACGTTCTCTCTATGTGGAAGCCTCAACGCGGCCTCTGCCCGAAGGCAAGCAGGTTTTTAAAAAGCCGCACTGCCCTCACGATCACTGATTGATGATGTGATGTCTTCTGTTTCAGGGAAATATGCAGAGGTGTAAACTCGTGATGGATCAAATCAGTGAAGCCAGAGACTCCATGCTTAAGGTTTTAGATCATAAAGACCGCGTCCTGAAGCTTCTGAACAAGAACGGGACTGTCAAAAAAGTGTCCAAATTGAAGCGAAAGGAAAAAGTCTAGACCCAGAAGAATCAGGAGTTTGGAAGCAAATTGATGAAGAATGATGGTGGGGGTGGGGGGAGGGTTTTGGTTTTTCCAAAGTGGAACTTTGAAATAAAGGAAGTGTTCCTTAGTTCACATGTGAAAGCAAGGGCCCCGTGACATCCAGTGGCATAAAAGGATCAGAGCTGACTGGACACAGTGAGCCGCCGCCTTGCGTTCGGGGCACCCCTGTTAAACCTGCTCTGTGTCATAAGTGACTCCGGATGCGTCAGTGTCCACCAGTTGGAAGCAATGACAAGGATGGCTGGCTGGGGTTGTTCAGCCTTCCGGTTTATAGACTGTATTTATCTAGTGGATTCCTGCAGGCCCCATACTGAGCCTGGACTGAAAGTATCCACTCGGACCATCTGTTATCTCTCTACACTGAAAATAAAACCTCTTCCACCCACCCCATTCGGTTCTTCTGCCTGACCTTCAAATGCCCACGTTGGCCTTTTACAGCAGTGCCACGGCACCAAGCGAGCTGCCGCATCTCACACTCTAAAGGGTTTGAACTATTAGTTCTTGTCATTTTTTTAAAAGAACCATTCCCAAGTGAAATTGTTATATCGTCTGTCTTGCGTGTGTCAGAATTGGGTTTTTGTGGAGGTTCAGAGCAGGCAACACCGTAAGGTGCTCTCAGATCCTTGTTCTGAAGTACATTCTCTTGGTTCTCTGTACTTCTGTAGCTGGTGTGATGCTGTTAATCGTATGTACCACACATCTCCAGACGTTAATAAAGGACTCAAAGAGGTTTTTGTACATGCGCAGTTTGCATCTTTCTGTCAAGTGAATCAGCGCCACACTGACTTTCGCTGAAATGTTTACCCTGCTTCGGTTTTTCACACGTTGGGAGCCTACTTTGTTTGTTGAAGTTATGCTGTTTGCATAGAGTTTCACTTATCAGGGTAGTTAGAATATGCTACAATGGTGAAATCTGTTGGATCTTGGCTCCCTTAAATATGAGCCTGTATTGTGGCCCAGTGCGGATATAAATTGGTCCAATTCTAGGACTGTTAAGGCTGCAGTACTGGGGGCGGAGCTTTCGGGTGGGTGGATCCTCTCCACAGGTTCCTCTTCCTGTGAACTAACCTGAGTGGAAAGGTCACTCAGATCCGCTTCCTGTGGGCACAAGACCAACCACCTCTGTCTGGCCTCCATGCGACAGAGCAGGAAAGATTTTTCTCAGAGGCTTCCGCTCTGCAGACAAGACCTGACCACCCTCCTTCCTTAGGACACCTGCTTTCAGCTACCAGGTTGGGGCTGGAGCACTTCCCTTCGCTCTGACCTGAACAGATTTGAGACGGGCAGTGTTCCATTTCTGCCCATGCCTTTGGGACCAACGCCCTGGCTCGCCTGAGACAGCCTTCCTCATAGTAGAATGGTAAGCTGTCATCTGTGGGATTGGGGAGACCACCCAGGCCTGCAGAGCCTAGACTAAAGACATCCTGGGCGCAGTCGAGGCTGCCGGACTAGAGTATTTCATGAGGATATGGAGAAAACTTGAAAAGGTTTTACTCGGCGCCAGTCTAGTGTAACTCCTAGAACAGTGCTCCTTTGCTGGAGTTTCTCATCAGTGTACACGTTGCCTCAGTGGTCACATGGGGTCTTTGGCTAGAGCAGGACGGGATTCAGGTGTGTGGGAGCCTATATTATAGACATGTTCTCCATGGCTTTTTTTTTTTTTTTCGAGACAGGATCTCACTCTGTCACCCAGGCTGAGTGCAGTGGCTCAATCATAGTTCACTGCAACCTCCAACTCCTGGGCTCAGGCGATTTTTCTGCCTCAGTCTCTTGAGTATCTGGGACTGCCAGTGCTTGCCACCATACCCAGCTAATTTTTTTTTTTTTCTTTGTAAGAGGTGGGATGTCATGTGTTGCTCAGGCTAGAGATTACTTTTTTGCGGAAAGCTTGTCAGTACAAGCCTTGAAGTCAGTGCAGATTAGAAAATAGCGTTTTCCTTTGGGTATATACCCAGTAATGGGATGGCTGGGTCATATGGTACATCTAGTTCTAGATCCTTGAGGAATCGCCATACTGTTTTCCATAATGGTTGAACTAGTTTACAATCCCACCAACAGTGTAAAAGCGTTCCTATTTCTCCACATCCTCTCCAGCACCTGTTGTTTCCTGACTTTTTAATGATCGCCATTCTAACTGGTGTGAGATGGTATCTCATTGTGGTTTTGATTTGCATTTCTCTGATGGCCAGTGATGATGAGCATTTTTTCATGTGTCTGTTGGCTGTATGAATGTCTTCTTTTGAGAAATGTCTGTTCATATCCTTTGCCCACTTTTTGATGGGGTTGTTTGTTTTTTTCTTGTAAATTTGTTGGAGTTCTTTGTAGGTTCTGGATATTAGCCCTTTGTCAGATGAGTAGATTGCAAAAATTTTCTCCCATTCTGTAGGTTGCCTGTTCACTCTGATGGTAGTTTCTTTTGCTGTGCAGAAGCTCTTGAGTTTAATTAGATCCCATTTGTCAATTTTGGCTTTTGCTGCCGTTGCTTTTGGTGTTTTAGACATGAAGTCTTTGCCCATGCCTATGTCCTGAATGGTACTACCTAGGTTTTCCTCTAGGATTTTTATGGTATTAGGTCTAACATTTAAGTCTCTTATCCATCTTGAATTAATTTTCGTATAAGGAGTAAGGAAAGGATCCAGTTTCAGCTTTCTACTTATGGCTAGCCAATTTTCCCAGCACCATTTATTAAGTAGGGAATCCTTTCCCCATTTCTTGTTTCTCTCAGGTTTGTCAAAGATCAGATGGCTGTAGATGTGTGGTATTATTTCTGAGGACTCTGTTCTGTTCCATTGGTCTATATCTCTGTTTTGGTACCAGTACCATGCTGTTTTGGTTACTGTAGCCTTGTAGTATAGTTTGAAGTCAGGTAGCGTGATGCCTCCAGCTTTGTTCTTTTGACTTAGGATTGTCTTGGAGATGCGGGCTCTTTTTTGGTTCCATATGAACTTTAAAGCAGTTTTTTCCAATTCTGTGAAGAAACTCATTGGTAGCTTAATGGGGATGGCATTGAATCTATAAATTACCTTGGGCAGTATGGCCATTTTCACGATATTGATTCTTCCTATCCATGAGCATGGTATGTTCTTCCATTTGTTTGTGTCCTCTTTTATTTCACTGAGCAGTGGTTTGTAGTTCTCCTTGAAGAGGTCCTTTACATCCCTTGTAAGTAGGATTCCTAGGTATTTTATTCTCTTTGAAGCAATTGTGAATGGAAGTTCATTCCTGATTTGGCTCTGTGTTTGTCTGTTACTGGTGTATAAGAATGCTTGTGATTTTTGCACATTAATTTTGTATCCTGAGACTTTGCTGAAGGATTATAAATTATGCTGCTATAAAGACACATGCACACGTATGTTTATTGCGGCACTATTCACAATAGCAAAGACTTGGAATCAACCCAAATGTCCATCAGTGACAGATTGGATTAAGAAAATGTGGCACATATACACCATGGAATACTATGCAGTCATAAAAAAGGATGAGTTTGTGTCCTTTGTAGGGACATGGATGCAGCTGGAAACCATCATTCTTAGCAAACTATCACAAGAACAGAAAACCAATCACCGCATGTTCTCACTCATAGGTGGGAACTGAACATTGAGATCACTTGGACTCGGGAAGGGGAACATCACACACCGGGGGAGGGATTGCATTGGGAGTTATACCTGATGTAAATGACGAGTTGATGGGTGTTGACGAGTTGATGGGTGCAGCACACCAACATGGCACAAGTATACATATGTAACAAACCTGCACGTTATGCACATGTACCCTAGAACTTAAAGTATAATAATAATAAATAAATTTAAAAAAAAACAAGGCCGGGCACGGTGGCTCAAGCCTGTAATCCCAGTACTTTGGGAGGCCGAGGCGGGTGGATCACGAAGTCAGGAGATCGAGACCATCCTGGCTAACATGGTGAAACCCCGTCTCTACTAAAAATACAAAAAACTAGCCGGGCGTGGTGGCGGGTGCCTGTAGTCCCAGCTACTCGGAGGCTGAGGCAGGAGAATGGCGTAAACCTGGGAGGCGGAGCTTTCAGTGAGCCGAGATCGCGCCACTGCACTCCAGCCTGGGTGACACAGCGAGACTCCGTGTCAAAAAAATAAATAAATAAAAATAAAAAATAAAAACAAACAAACAAAAAAAAACAACAACAAAAAAAAAAAAAAAGAAAATAGTGTTTTCAGGATGTCTTCCCCTTCTGAGGACAATGCAGTCAGCAGTTAGGAGAGGCAGAGGGGATGATTCTTGCCGACAAACAATGGTTTTTGAATATAGTTTTATTGGCCGGGCGCAGTGGCTCACACCTGTAGTCCCAGCATTTTGGGAGGCCAAGGCAGGCGGAACACTTGAGCTCAGGAGTTCGAGACCAACCTGGCCAATGTGGTGAAACCCTGTCTCCACTAAAAAAATAAAAATTAGCAGGGCTTGGTGGCACACGCCTGTAGTCCCAGCTGCTCAGGAGGCTGAGGCAGGAGAATCACTTGAACCTGGTAGGCAGAGGCTGCAGTGAGCTGAGATCACACCACTGCACTCCAGCCTGGGTGACAGAGTGAGACCCTGTCTAAAAACAAACAAAAGTACCTCAAGCAGTCCTCCTGCCTCAGCCTCCCAAAGTTTTATTAAAGAGGAATCGTGGCCCACGCCTATTATCTCAACACTTTGGAAGGCTGGCAGGAAGATCTCTTGAGAGCCCAGGGGTTCGAGATCAACCTAGGCAACATAGTGGGACCCCACTTCTACAAAAAACATTTAGAAAGAAAATGTCTTGTAATATTTTTATGTCTTCATAACGAGTGTTGTTTTGTTTTGTTTTTTTGAGATAGTCTTGGTGTCATTCAGGCTGGAATACAGTGAGACGAACACAGCTCACCACAGCCTCAACCTCCCAGGTACGAGCAATCTTCCTGCCTTAGTTTCCTGAGTAGCTGGAACTACAGGCGCACACCGCCGTGCCTAGCTAGTTTTTTAATTTTTTGTAGAGGAGGGATCTCACTATGTTGCCCAGGCCAGTCTCAAACTCCTGACCTCAAGCAGTCCTCCTGCCTCAGCCTCCCAAAGTGCTGGGGTTACAGGCGTGAGCCACTGCACCTGGCCTACTGATTTTGTCAGTAATAATACAGAGTCATACAATTATAGGGTTGAATATTTATTTACAGATTATGTAGTCCAACCCAACCAATGATGAAAGGGACTCCTTAAAAACATTTTTTTTTTTTTTTACATTATAAAATGCCACACATCCGAAAGCCTAGTACATGAAACAAATGTATAGATTCATAAATTCTTACTTAAGAACAACTTTCAGATCACCCCCATGGTAAGAAACAGAAACTTGTCATTCATCTCCAGAAGCTTCGCCACTGCCACATCCAATTACAGCCCTCCACTGCCCCAGTAACTTTTTTTTTCCAAATAATCATTTTTATTGTACAAATACAGAGTAGAATGTCCAACTCTTAATAAGATTTGTCAAAATCTTGTGTTTTGACAAATATATACACCCAAGCCAACACCCAAATAAAGATACATGACATTTCTATAACCTCAAAGGAGCAGCTCTCTGTAGTCATGACGTACCCCTCTGCCTCACCCCGCCCCCCCACAAAAAAACGTAAACACTGATCTACCACCTGTTAACACAGATTCGTTTGGTTCATTAACTTCATATAGATTCATGCAGTACACACTTACTTGTGTCTGGCTTCTTTTGCTCAACATAATTTGAGCTT